TAGATGAACTGGAGAATGCACACTTGATGACAGTGGACTAGATTAATAGCCAACTGAACATCCCAAAGAGTGTTGATTAATGGGGGTCTCAATGAGGAGTCGCAGGGACTCTACTTGACAGTGATCAACGATCTTATCAACGACATGGATAAGTCCACGATGATTAAATATGAGGATGGCATAAACCCAGGAAGGATAGCTAATAGATTGGAGGACAAAATCAATACTTTAAAATATCTTTATTGACTATAACAGTGGGCTAAACCTAACAGGAAATATTTAACTTTGATAAAAAGAATATCCTACATTTAAAAAATATCATTGTACAAATACAGGATTTCATACAGTCTGTTGGGGACTCTGGCTTGACAGCACTCAGGTGAGTGCCTAGCTCCCTTGCCTTCCCGTTCCCCTCTGGCCATTGACTCCCCTCTCTCGGGTTTCCCTGTTACTGAGCTTCCTGTAGATCCTCTAAGCACACTCTCTGGCGGCCCCAGCAGTCACCACGTGCTTCCCTGACAGCAGCCCTGCTCACACGGTGCTCTCATTGCGTGTTTCCATCTTTGCAGCCTCCCCTGGCCTGTCAGCCCCATAAGGTGGGGAAGGCACCCATCTTCCCCCTTGTTCCCTGATGAACCCCGCTCTGAACTCAGGTGCTGGCACTTAGCAGACACTCAATAAGTATTTGTTGCATTATGCATGAAGATGAGAAATGGCAACTTGGAAAAGTCAATTTACTGAAGGTCACGCAGCAGTACTGGGAAGAGGACTGGACCCAGGGTAGCCTCATGCCAAAGCCCAAGACTTAATTGGCCATTGGCATACTGGGAGCCCAGGTGGATGCCACTCTACCTGTCTTGGTGCTAGTTTCATTTAAATGAGAGTATGGTTCTACTAATGGTGCAGTGTAGGGAAAAGAAGACTGTATAACATAAAGAGATCTATAATAAAGCCCTGACTCCATGCTGTGTGACCTTGGGCAAGTCACTCAACTTCTCTAAGCCTCAGTTTCTATAATGATAATATAAGAAGGTTATTCAGGATGGTCTATGAATTCTCTGGTTAGCTCTGAAATACTATCATGGAAGGAATGTAGAAGTTTCAGACTTTTCCATCCTGTAATGACTCTGCTCTTTCTTTATCGCCAAGCTTCCTAAGTTCTCACCTCCTGATCCATGCTCTTCACATTCCAATTTTCCCTCTGCTTCAATCTAGCTACTGACATTGCTCTAAATTAACTGAGGATCTCTTAGTAGCCATATCCCAAATCGTTTTTTCAGTTCCCATTCTGTTGACCTCCTGACGCATTTGGAAACCTCACCTCTGTGGTCTCTGCTAAACACCTTCCTCTTAGTTTTAAGCTAAAGTTTTTGGCTGCTTCTTCTTTTCTCCTGTCTCTGATACCACTCTCTTATTCCAGGTCCTTTCCACCTTTCACTACTGTAATCATATCTTAATTTGTCCCACAGTCTGACCCTCTTCCTCTTTGTCTGCCATCAAGCTGGCAGAGCTGTTTTCCTCAAATACAAATCTATCAGCTCATGCCCCAGTTAGATACTCTGATGGCTCCCACTGTTCACAAGATACGCAAATACATAAACACCCATTGCACACATGAAACCACTCATCCTTCTGGAGCCCGAGGCAGACACCACTATTCAAGCAAAACTTCAGGACCCTTCTTAACACGGACTTCCAGACAGCTACTACCAATCAGTGCATGTGAAGGTAAGATGGAACCTATTCATTCACAGCCTGGCTCGAACCTGCTTTCCAGCCTCCTTTCCCGTCACTTTCTTTCCCACCCACACTCCATGTTCTGGATGCTTCTGAGCTTCCCTAATGCCATGCTCCTCCAGACCACTTCACCCTTGTATAGTCATGCACCACATGATGATGTTTCAGTCAACAACCAACCACATATACTGTGGTGGTCCCATACGATCAGTACCATAGAGCCTGGGTGTGCAGTAGGCTGTACCGTCGGGGTTTGTGTAAGTGCACTCTACGATGTTCGCACCATGATGACGTTGTATAAGGATGCATTTCTCAGAATGTATCCCTATCAATAAGTGACATGTGACTGTACATGCTAATTATTCTATAAGGAAAACAACTTTCCTACTGTATCTGGTCAGTTCTTGCTAATCCTCCCAGAGCCAGTACAAACATTGCTTCCTTTTGCAGACCTTTCCTGACCACCAGCAAAAAAAAAGCTTCTTTTTCTTCTGTTGGCATCATATGGCAATGATCTATTTCCACGTGTGTTGATCCCCTTCTAATTAGAGCATGACCTTATCTGGACTGAGACCACACCTTGGTCATCGTGTTGCACTCCCTAGAGTTTACTACAATAGCTAGAACACAGTAGGTGCCGAATAAATACTTACTTACTGAATGAAATGCTAAACAGATGACGAAGTGAATGTCTAACTGGACATATGGCAGGTTTAGAACTCAGAGTCCTGCTTATGGACGCCGCCACGGACACTCCCGCAGCAGCTCTCTTCTCACACTCACCTGGTCCCAGGCATGTCAGGAAAGCTCAGAATTTCATTGATAAAGGACAGTAACAGTAATAACAATGATGGAGATAATAGCAACGTCTTGAATACTTACTATGTGCAAGACAAAAATTGTTTGCTTTAAGACTTAAAGAACAAGGAGTAGGGGGGCTGGCCCCATGGCCAAGTGGTTAAGTTTGTGCACTCTGCTTCGGTGGCCCAGGGTTTCGCCAGGTTGAATCCTGGGTGTGGATATAGCACAGCTCATCAGGCCATGCTGAGGCACCATCCCACACAGCACAACCAGAAGGACCTACAACTAGAATATACAACTATGTACTGGGGGGCTTTGGGAAGAAGGCGGCGGAAAAAAACGAAGGTTGGCAACAGATGGTAGCTCAGGTGCCAATCTTTAAAAAAAAGAACAAGGAGCAGAACAATCTTTACATATAATTAAAGAGAACAGCAGAATAAAGATAATTCTGAGGATAAAGAGTCATACTTGGATCTGTTATCCAAAAATACGATAACTATCTAAAACACCACTGAAAGAACTTTAGATCATTTATTAACGCAATGCACCAAAGGAAAGACTACAGCTTATGCACAGGTCTGGGCTGGGCAGTCAATAATATCGTTTTCCCTGATACATTCTGTAGTGGCACCAGTCAACATTATTCTAAGAAATTTCTCTCCCGGTCAAATCTACATGGATGAAAATTAGCTTAGGATAGAGTTTCCTAGTGTTCCAAGGAATAACCACAAGATCTGGGAAAAAAACAAGTGCTAGGTGACAAAAATTTGGGGAGTGATGGTGTGATTATTGCACGCTCCTCTTAGAGAGCCACAATGCTTATTAGCACGTGGGGACGAGAAGACTGCACTAAGAAAATCTGGGCAGTGGGGCTTCACCCAGAAGTCTCCGTGTGGATTTGACCAGTGAACTTTTCTTTTTAAAGAATGCCTCATCTTTATTTCATGGAATTAGTATTGGAAAATACTGGCTTTGGAGGTTCCTAGACACAGTCCATCTGTGCTGGGATTCTAGCAATGGGCACACGCAAAGGGGATTGCTATGAAGACCTATCTGGTTTAGGGAAAGTAGGACTGGCTATGGTCTGCGCCAGAAGAGACTCACACCTGGTATTATTACACGAAAAAGGTTCAACCCTATATGAAGGCTTGGAAGAAAAAGGCCAACTCCTAACCAGCAGTTTGAATTAACAGTTTAGTTATTATGGCTGTCTCACAGAGTCACAGGAATTTATATTTTCATTTTATCCCAAAGAAAAACTTGACCATCTTTCTTTAATACTATCCACCTGGAAGCTTGACAGTAAGGATTAAAAATTGCTCCTTCCTTCCCACTTGGTTATTGGAAAGGCTCTGAAAGGTAATCAGTCTTGTGAAGCTACACTTTACAGTCTGCATAAAAATGCCACGATTTCCCTTCCTCTCCCTGAGCTAATTGAAGTGCATAATATCACCCAGCTGGGGAAATGTGAATGGTAAACATGCGCAATATATCATGCCCTCACACGGAGGCTGGGTGCTAATGGGGACGGGGTGGTTGTCAGGAGCAAAGGAAATCTGGAAAACAAACCTTTTTTTCATCTAGAATGAGAGCTCTTTGTGCCTGCCACCTTTCCCCCTGTTACCTCCTCCCTCCAGACTTCAAGCTACAGCCAGATTAAACCAAGGTCAGTCAACTCATTCCTTGCGCGTGTAATTCCAAGGGTCACCTAACAATGTATATTGACTAAAACTCTCTTCTATCAGCCTTTCAAGAGAAGAGGCATTTTGCTTTTGGCAGGAGGTGGGGTTGGAATCATCTCATTCCCTAGCTACTTCAATTGGACTGACAGATGGTCCTATTATCTCTCTCCTTAGCTGCTGAGCCTAAAGATCCCTGGCCTTGTCACCTCTTATCTTTCTCTACTTCATCAAACTCCGATTGCCAAGCCTATCTCCTTTCCTACCTCTGATCATCCATGAATAGCTACACAGGATCACATATTCCTTGAGTATAAAGTCCCCATCTTACTTTTCAAAGTCCTCTGCGCCTCTGCAGCTATCTATAATTCCACCTCAATTCCACTCCCTTAGAAGTCATCATTCTCTTCTCTAACTCCTCACCTTCAAGCGTCATGCCATCTTCTTGAACACGTCTTTCACATAGGGCTCTTAGGAGAAAGGACAATATTCCTTCAAAGTTTTCATCACTAGTTCTCTGCCACAATATTCCTTCAAAAATTGCTCCCTGTTGCACCATGAACTCAACTACTGCTCTTCATTCATGCCACCTTATAACTGTCTATTGTTTCATTTTTGATGGCTGATACCTTACGGGTAGGTCAAAGCACAGCACTTGTCAAGGGTACTATGTCGTTTCACTTATAATAGATTGAAGGATATAATTTTCTCTGTTTCAGCAGTAGACATGATTTGAAACTTACTGAATTAAAACTACATTCATCTTTCAATAAACTATATTACCTGTCAACTGGCATGGGAGGTTGGTAAGGCTTGTTGACCTTGGCATAGAGACCCTCTAAGTGGTCTCTCTCTGGAGACAGTGGACGGCCATCCCGAGGGTAACCCAGTGGTCCAGTCCGTGGGGGAGATGGAGACCTATAGACAGTTGCTGATGCGCATGGTTCCCGGAAGTGGTTCACTCTGGCGTAATTGGGGTCCATTTCATCATCGTCCATATCATGCAGTGATCCGATTGCACCAGTAGCATAATCAACAAGACTTCTTGCCTGCTTTTCCCTTAACTCCTGATGTTTTGCTCCAATCCTGAAAAATGTAGAACAGGTAGCAGAGACGTATGTGAGTTTATACGCTTATACAATGACACACTCTCCTGACTCCATGTTAACTCTTCCTAGTCAGTTACTTAGCTGTCACTTTCCTGTTTACTCAAGATCACATCATACAGAAATGCCAACAGCATATTCCATGGGATTACTTTTATAGCTCTGGCCTTTATTTTTTACAAGGTCTTTACTTTTATAGCAATGCTATAGGTATTTTGACATCTTGCCCATGCTGACTGGGCTGATTGCAGAGGAAGAGAATGATTCTCATTAATATTCCCTCCCTACAAACGCGATGCGATTGTGGGAAGAGTATATCTTTGGTGTGATATTACAGTCTTCCCCGGGACAGGGACACATGTTAAAGAGCCCGTTAGAATCTTACACTTTGTCTATGATGTCCATATTTGGTGCCTTAGAGTTCTGGGGTATTCTTCGAAAGAAAAGAGCTTACAAAAATTGATTTAAATATGAAAAAGAAATACAGAGGCTTTCTGGTCACTAAAAGCAGTAGGATTGTAGGTAATTTATAGAGTTTCTAAGTCTTTTGGTTACACAAATGGGGATCACTGTGTCTCATTATACAGGGGCTGGGGACAGAGCAAAATCGTGAAGAAATTAATAGGCTCCTGACAGAGATAGATCGGCACATATAAGTGAATTAAACACCATTACTGGCAGAACTCCACATCACTGAAGCTTTAAGTGATATTACAAAATGCTATTGCTAATCAGTGTACTGTGTAGACTACGGGGAATGCGGTTCCAAATCCAACTGAATTTTGAGAATTTGACATTTAATCTGGAAAGTGTTAGATCAGCTCTCCTGAATTCTCAGTTATGTGTTAAAGGGAAAGGTCACTGTGGCATCTTATTGGACAATGCTGCTCTGGTGGTGTCAGGAGGTGTTCAGAGCGAACGAGGAAAGAATGTCACCTTACACCACCAGGCCAACAGGATGAGAGAAGTAAGACAGTGACAGCTCGAGTGGCTCAAGAAAGACTCTCAGGAAAGGGTGGGGCCAAACCTGACATCCTGCATCCAGAGAATAGGAGAGGGTCGAAGAAAGATCCACATATGACTGGAGACATAGATGGAAGGCCTTGATGACCGAAAAACAAGAACAGAGCTCTCCCAGTATTGCTGCTTTTCAAACAAAACAGCCGTTTCTGCACATGGCATCTAGCTGTATTTTACAGAACATCAAACTCTTTGTAAAAATCTTTAAAAGCCATGATCTTTCGAAGTATTTACTCTTTTGGCAGAACAGCTTTTTTTCTTTTTAGAAGAGAGAAGGAAAAAAAGAAGAAGAGAAGGGAAAAAAAAGACAAAGAAGAAGGTATAGGACAAAAACCCAGCATCTGTCCTCCAGGCACAACAGATGAAAAATATGCCAGGATCCTCTATTGCATATCTCCTTGACTAGGCCAAATCACGTACTCTACACATAAGCAATTACAAGAATTTATATTTTTGCAAAGGGGAGCTTGACTCTCCAAGGGATTTTGAATGAAGATGAAAGGAAGATAACACAGTAGGGTACCCGTGGGGAGGCTCTGCTGTCTCCTTTCAATGCACGTTAGTCCTAGATTCAATGATGTTTGTTTTGAATAATTTTTGATAAAGAAAATAACCTGCTCCATTCTGCAACAAAACAATCTTCCCAGGGACAGTGCAGGCTGGATTATCAGAGAATGCTTGCTGCACGATGACGATAGGGATGGATTTCCATTGCAAATAGAATGCAGGACATCAATAAAGTGAGGGGGGATTCTGGGTGGTTACTCTCCTCCTAGGTGGGATGGCTTCAAGAGAAATGATTCAGCAGAAAGATGAGCATCTCATCGCTGCCGCAGTGGGCTACACGTGTGCATTACTGAAAGAGGAAAACACCAAGCTTGACTTTTAAAAATCACGGAAATAGGGGCTGGCCCCGTGGCCGAGTGGTTAAGTTCGTGCGCTCTGCTGCAGGCGGCCCAGTGTTTCGTTGGTTCGAATCCTGGGCGCGGACATGGCACTGCTCATCAAACCACGCTGATGCAGCGTCCTACATGCCACAACTAGAAGGACCCACAACGAAGAATATACAACTATGTACTGGGGGGCTTTGGGGAGAAATAGGAAAAAAATAAAATCTTTAAAAAAAAAAATCACGGAAATAGAACACTGGTATGTATGTTCCTTATTTCATCACTTCTCTTTCTTATAAGTTTTCTCATTAATTAAGCTTGCTGAGTAAGTAAAGATCCTTGGATGAAAAGTACTCTGTGTATGCAAAGCAGTATTTTGTTTTGTATTTTTCCTTTCTGAAACAAAACCAAATTTCTCCTTGATCCTCTCTGCACCACTGGGCGTCTCAGTAACTAACTTCATATTAATCACTCAGTAGGTGAAATAGTAATTTCTCTGAATACTCACTATTACGCCATATATCAGGGTCTCTCGTGTGGGGAAGACAAGGCAATCTCTGAAAAGGGGTGTACGGAGGCAGAAGAGACTCTCTCAAGAGAGAAATGTCAAGGAGATAGATTTTTTTTGGGTAGCTCTGACCTCCCTCTGCCCCACTTTTGTGTGAGAAATCTAATTGTTTATAGTCATTCCCACCTGGAGGTCTCCTTACGACTGGGAAATCAACCTGTTAAAATAGCTGCTTTTCAAAATAACCCTTGATAATACACACTTTTTATTGGATGGTGTCACCAACTTCCTCATGCTCCCCAGCACACTGCCTTTGAATTGTTTATATCTCTTCTCTCTCTCTCCCTCTATGAAAATATGGTTGTTTCTTTTTCCCATTACACTTCTTGGATATCCTCTTTTATTCCCATTTCTTTAGCCACGGTCTAGTGTTCAGGCTTTATATAGTCTAGATCTGCACTGTCCAGTATGGTGGCCATTAGTCATAGGATGCTATATAAATTTAAATTAGAATTACTGTCCATTAAATAAAATTAAAATTCAGCTTCTCAGTTTCACAAACCACATTTCAAGTGCTCAATAGCCACATGTGGCTTGTGACTACGATATTGGACACTGCAGAAATAGACAAATTCCACCACTGCAGGGAGCTCTATTGGACTGTGCTGGCCTAGATTAGTCTAAGATTTTTGGTATGTCACCACACACCACTTTAATCTATACCATAAAAGGTTGCTAGAATCATCTTCCTCAAAGAGCATTTCCATCATATCTCTGTCAGATCAGGGACCTCTAACAGGAGATTGAACCAAATGATGGAGTAAGAGTATGATTACTTTACTTCCTTCCCTCGAATGCTAAATGAACAGACAATTGAGAAATTGAGAAGAAAATTCCATCCACAGCGGAATTAGAAAATGGTCATAATCTTACACCATGCGATGAAATTTGGACTCAACCGAAAGAGGGTAGTACACCAAGATGTGATATATGCCACGCCTCCAGCAAGTGGACATTTCACTGAAAGTAAGAGAGAGAGTCCAGTGGACTACACACAACAGAGTTTCATTTAGAAAAAGAGGGGTCTGCAGACCTGGACCCTGGAATTGTGGGTAAATCTCTGCAAGGCTCCAACTGCTGAATGGGGGAGAGGTGGGGCCAGAAGAGAAGAATTTCCTTTGAGAGATAGAGTTCCTCCTCCCCTGAAGAAACTTCATGGAGGTAAACGGGGAGAGGAGAAAAGAAGCTCCAGCCTGCTCTGTAGCTGACCGGCAAGACCGGCAGAGCAGAGGAGCAAACAGACTCATCAAAATAAAACCGTTGATCTAAGAGACTTCTCTATGGAGGCTGTTCGGGTGTTGTTGGTGTGGTCTGCTCTCTCAAAACGGAAGACTGTACAAAACCAGCCCCTAGGGCAGTGTACCCAACAGATTTGGCAAAAAGATATTTTGAGAAAACGTATGGAACTGAAGCTGCTGGTGACCTTCGACCTCTGTGCCATCTCACCTAACACCAAGTTTTAGCACAGATTTTTTAAAATAATGTAGAACAGGAAATTAACGGGTCACAACAAGCATTTAAAAAATTAAATACAATAAAAGAGAAAATATTAGAGCTTACTGCATGTAGTAAGCATAAGGATTGTTTCAAGAAGGAGAAAAATCAATAACCTAAAAATTCAGACAAATTCCAGCTAGCCTTGAACATGAATAAAGACAAAAGAAAACCATTCTCAAACATTTTAAAACTCAAGGGAATATAGCACTTGTTGACTCATCTTGAAAAGCTACTTAACAATGAAAAGCAGCCAACCAAGACTGAATCAAAATGAGGAATTCAACCTGATGGAGCGGTGGAATGCCAGGTGTGGAGGTGAGCAATACATCCATTTAAATATAAAACTAAGGCTAAGTGACTGTAGCAACATAATTACAGAAAAAAATAAAATGTTCTAAACTCTGACAATATAAAAATAACATCACTAATGAAAATCAGAGGCCAATAAGGAGGTGAGTGAGGAGAAAGCATTAATACTCAAAGGTATTTATTTCCTCACCTTTAAAGCAGGCATCAGTAGTTACTGTTTAAAGTGGATACATCAAGAACAGAGGCTTAGGATATTAAATATAATCATAAAAAACCACTAAAACAGCAAGTTCTCAGGAGATGAGAAATGCACAGAACAAAACCCCCATCATATAGAAAATAGAAAACAAAGAAAGCAGTAAAAAGAAAGTAACACGACATCAGATGATCAGACTTATCTGTTCTGACACTAAATGAAAGTGGAACAAGTTTCTTTATTATAACTAAAGGATCCAGATATAATCAAAAAGGAAAACACACTATGTGCTATCAAAATAGAGAAAAATGGGGAACAGCCTTAACGTACATTAATAGGTGATGATGAAAGGAATACTGTGCAGCTTAAAAAATAGGTTCAAACTATTCCTACACTAAAGGAAGTAAGATATTCACAAGGGTCAGGATGTATATAAACACCTGTATGATGTAGGTATAGATACTTGCACATGTGTAGAAAATGGAAGGATACACAAAAGT